TTTCAAGTTTCCAACAGCCATAGCACAGGAACAACTGGTAACTGACACTCTCAATCATTTCAAGCATCCAACTGGCATTGTACAGGAACCCCTGGTGACTGATGCTCTGGATCATTTCAAGGTGACTCATACTCCCACTAATGTCTCCTGCTTACCTGAAAGTGACGGGGGAGATCTTTCCCATCAAGGCATAGGCTGTGACACTCTGAAGGTGGAACAAGACGCCATCCATTAGGAGCAGCAAGACGACATCTTGATTGTAATGGAAACTTCTTCCACTCTTTCCAATCACTGGCATATCCTATATGAGTCAGAAGCAAAAAAATAATAATAATAAAATAAATGCAGCTGCTTCATACTCTGAATACAATGAATCTCTAGATTAGAAAGCCCGGTAATATAGAAATCTGGCTTCTTTTTGGGGGGGAAGGGGAGTTAAGAAGACATCACTTTGGGGCCACAGTACTTAACAATATGAAATTTCTAATCATATTAAAGTCAATCAAGGGATCAAATGAAATAATATCTATTAAAAATAATATCTATCACAGTGTCTGGCACATAGTAAGAGGCTATATAAATGCTAATTTCCTTTCCCTTTCCCATACAATAAACATTTATTGAGGGCCTAATGTGGTTAAGGGACTATGTTATTATCTTTCTAATTTTGGTATAAAGTTGGCTTATTTTTCCTAAGCTGGTGGGGGAGGAGGTTGGAGAAGAGAAGGTATGTTTATTAAATCTGACTGAGCTCTGAAAAAGGAGTTAACCAGATGAAAAAACTTATTTTGTGCCCTGGACCCTTCTGGCAGCCACACACGTAAAAGTACAGACCCTTTCTCAGAATAATGTTATTAAATGCATAAAATAAAATACATAGGATTACAAAGGAAATCAATTATATTGAAATGCAGCTATCAAAATGTTAAAGAAAAATTCATGACCTCAGGTAAAGAATGCTTGCCTCCTATGCTTTGAGAAACACAAAATGTGGACACATCCTACACAGCTGAGTGATGGCTCTCAGGCCTAAGGAACAGCTCATAAACAAAGGCAAGCAGGAGGAGACAGAAGGAATGAGGCCCGCACCCAGGATTTCCTTTGCATGGGGAATTTTGAGATGGTGAAATGCTGTCTACCGATGCCTTCTCTGTGGCTGACGGTGGTAGAGGGCAGCCTGGCACAGGAGGCCTCCATCGCCTGGCTCCTGGTCATATGGCCAATCTGGGGCAGAGGCCAGACTATGAACCCAGGTCTTCCTGACTGATTCCAAGGCCAGCTCTCTATCAACTACACCACAGGGCCTCTCCACTCTCTGAAAATCAATCTCACGGCCAACAGCAAAGGTCTATCTTTGCATGAAGCCACTCTCACCATGAAAAAGATCCAAGCTGGAATGAGCATGACCACAGCAGCAGCACTGGTATAGAACTGAAGTTCTGGGGCACTGCACAGAAAAAAATAATAATAAAGGACACAGAAAAAAACACATGCCCACTTCAAAGGCAAAGCAAGTCTGAGCGTAGAAACCCTAACCCTCCTCCCCCACCTCTTATACACCAGGTACTCTGAAATCCTGCGACAGGACACAGGCCCCCTTGCTGCCCCTCCCACAAGACAATCCATCCCCACCTCTGGGTGTTTTCCCTGGCTGGGCCCCACGCCTGGTGAGGTCTCCCTCCTTATCTCTGTCCAGCTCAGATTCCACCTTCTACTGGAAGCCTTTCTCAATCACCCTCCTTTCTGGGGCCTCCTCGGTTGATGGGCCCCAATTCACTCGGTCTTTATCTTGTACTTATTGGAATGCTGACTATCTCATTAGACTGTGAGCTCCCTGAGGGCAAGGATTGTCTTTTACCTTTCTTTGTATCCCCAGCACTTAGCATAGTGCCAGCACACAGTAGGTGCTTCATAAATGCTTATTGGCTGACTGAATCCTTTCTGGGACAACCTCCACTTTGTCCTGTACATATACTGTATGTACATAGTTACTTGTATGCCTCCTCATTAAATTGTGAGCTCTCTGAGGGCACGGCACATTGCATCCCCAGCATATGGCACGTAGTAGGTGCTTAATAAAGGCATGTTGACCGACTTCATGAAATGATGATTCATAGCTTTAGATACAAGTTGAGGAGGCTTTCAGAATGTAAAATCCCCTTTAGAAAGCATCCTGGACAACTGAAAATAGGCTTTTCTTGTGTGATGATGAGGGATGACGGAGTCACACAAGGAACCTGGGTAGCTGAAGCCTCATGTCAAATATTTTGTGACTCTTAAGGGAACTCCTGAGCACCTGTCAGTAATGGTCTGGGGTCTTCACATTTCTGTAGGCCAAACCCACCAATTCTCTGCACACAAATATTTAACACTTGGGAATTATCAGTGTAGCTCAGACATCTCAAATGGGCCATGCGATCCCTGGAGGACCCCGGTGAAAACCTGAGGCTCCATGAATTATGAATACTTACGAAAACCTGTATTTATCCCCACTGAGGAGCTTTTTGGAAAACACATTTTGCAAACTAGGAAAAATAAAAAAACAGAAAAAAATATTTCACTGGCAAGTTAGAAATAAGTAAAAATTGGAAATAATTCTTAAAAATACCTAAAGCAACCACTTCAGTATAAACTAGGACATAAATGTTTCTAAGGAATAAGCTGTACTTTTCTGTGGACTACAAAAATATTACATGGATGGGTAAATGTATAATATGGGCTCTTCCCAAACAATGGTCTAACATGAATAACCTATTTTCCCCCAGTCTTGATTAAGATGATTCAAAACAGAACAGCTTGGGGCATAAAAAACGTTGCATCTTACATCCTGTATCTGCTAAGCTCCTTTCTCTTTTATATTTAGCATCAAAACATACTTTTACATCTGAACTGTCACAATACAGAGGATGTGGCAAGACAGGGTAAGGGACTGGGCTGCAATTTAAAGACCAACAGAGCTGTCTAGAGCAATGAGGAGTTAAGAGACATGGCCCAGGGTCACGTAGCCATGAAACATCATGGAAGGCCTGCAGGCCAGTTTTCAAAGTCAGCTCTATCTCCTAGGCCTGGCAGCTTTTCTGTGCCGAGACGTGCGTCCTTGTGGGGAGCTCACAGGGGACCAAGTGCCTTCATCAGTGCACATCAGCAGCTCCTCTGCCAGAGGCTGAGAGGTACCTGGGCTACCGAGGGTTAAGAGGCTCACCCAGGGCCAGCCAGGAGGGCCAGAGGGAGGACCTAAGACTCTTCTGCTCGGCCACCTGCCGCGCCCAGTCTGCCTGGGCGCACCAGCATTCCCAACGGAACTGTTCACCTGAAATGAACGTTCAAAGTATGAACAGCACACAGCACTGTACTGCAGTTTACAAGCAAACGAACAGGTTTTCTGTATTCACTGGAGGGGAACCTGGCTTTAGAGCTCCCAGTTTAACATTCCATGAAGCAATATCAAAGGAATTTGTCACCTAACATCTGTGATTCTTATGGAAGAAAATCCAGTGCAGCTAGGGATACTCTAAGAATTTCCTCTCACCTTTAGCCCCACTAGGACCAAACATCATCTGCTCCTAAGATTTTTCAATTCATCTTTCATTTTTTCTGTCTCTCTCTGACTTTCCCTATTTCTTTCCCTCCTTCCCTCCCTTCCTCTCCCGTCTTTGTCTTTTGTCTTTCTCTCTTTTTCTCTCTCTCCCTCCCTGTCTCTCCTCCCCCCTTTTCTCTCTCTCCCTCCCCCCTCCCTTTTTCTCTCTCTCTCTCCGTCTGTCTCTCCCTCCCTTCTTCTCCCATCTTTGTCTTTGTCTTGCTTTTTCTGTCTCTCTCCCTC